TTTACGAAATTGATCTGAATTACCACCTAAATTTAGTGAAACTCTTCAGTTTTATTGTCAAATCTTTAATTCCTTTCATGTTGTAGTTCATCATTTCTCGTGAAAACCCGGCTTCGTCTAATCGATTTCTCTTAAGTCCTTCCTGTTCTTCTTCTTAGAGCGCCGTCTTCATGAATAAATGTTGCCAACAATCTCGGCGAACCTCTAGCGATCCTGGGCGGTTCGAAATATTGAGTAAGCATCCATACCGGTCCAATCTCTGATATTCCTTAGCCATGAGTGCTTCTTTCTACTTAAGCCCCGCTTGCCCTCAATTTTCCCTATCATTATCAATTTCTGGATATCATATGTGAACCAAAAACAGCGTTTTTCGATTTTCGTAGTTCTCATGACATGCGCCGTCCAAGGTATTTTGAGAAGTCTATGATGTATCCACATCTCAAAGGTTTCAATTTTGTTAATGGTGTTTACCTTTAGAGTCCATGTTTCACAGCCGTACAACAAAACTGACCGTACATAACATTTCACAAATAGGTGTCTGAGCCTCAGGCTTAGGGTGGAATTATACAGGAATGACAGCATCAGATTTAAGGTGGCTCTTGCCTGCTCGATTCTAATCCTGATTTCTACTTATGGATTCTTGCTGATCCAGGTCCCCAAATATATCTACCACTTCTATTTGTTTCCCTTTTATTTATCGGCAGCTCTGAGGATTTTGATATGCCATAAAGTGATGTTTATTTTAAGGTCCAAACGATCTCCGACTGCTGCCGTTGCAGGGCTATCTGCCAATACCGCGCTGTCATCAGCGTATCTAAGGTTGTTAAGCTTCTTTTGTTGGTCTCTATACTTCTGAAATAATAGGTTCAGGCCAAACAATGCTTCTCGAGTTCCCATTCCTTTACGAAATCCAAACTGATTCTTATATTCTTAAATGAATGATTTAAAGGAATAGTTTGACGAGATGACTCATCAAGCTTATAATCCTATATTCATTGCGCTTGCTTTTTTCTGAATCGGAATAAATTCCGATCTCAGCCACTCATGGAGAATCAATTAATCATCTTAAACTTTTAATAACTCTATACGAATGTGATCTGGCTCAGGGGATTTTCTGCTTTTGCTGTTTTTTATTGCTCTTAGAACTTCTTGTTTTAATATTTTAGAAGAGCTCTCCAGCTCTCTGGTTACTTCAAATTGACGTGGTGCTGGGCCTTTTGAACAACTGCTCTATGCAGGATTTTCAGTGACTCTTAAAGTATTCGACATCTATGATTGCCTTGTTGTTTCATCAAGTAAGATATACGTATACGTATATGTATAGGTGTATGACAACTTTTATGAAAACAATATTTTTCTTCAATTGCCTATATTCACAATCCTATAAAAAAATCTTACGTTCAGCATTAAACAGTCTAAATCAGCATTTTTTGCGCTCAAAAAGTCACCTTCGTCACCCAAACACCATACTTGAAACTCAATAAAGGTCGCATCGAGTAAGTCGACAGCATCGCAAACAAATCTCAAGCCGCTGCGCCGCGTGTACTAGAACGGTTAATACGTGCATCTTCCTATTCCTAATCTTATCTCGGACCAAAACGGCGTTCAATAAGGGAAACTCGCGGAGTCCCGGAATCAATATTCCTCCGTCGTACATACGTTATCGCTCAAGTCAGCAAAGTGTAAATGATTTTCTGTCGCGGACGGGCGGGTGGTGAGCGGGGCGGCGAGCGGGGGTTATCTCGAATAATTAGTGGGTTTCTGGCGATACAAAGGAGGGCCCTCGCGCGCTGAGACAATGCTAAATGAAACGTGAATAATTCCGTCTGGAAGATAAGAGAATCGCGAGCACTCGATTGTCTTAATCAAAAGTGTAGCCCTTGCTTTAGCGGAGAAGAGAGAAGGGCTCTTTGATTTTTCTCCGTCCCCTTTGAGAAGATAAAGGGGCATGTCGTCAGCGAATTCGCGGTCCCCGCTAATTAATTCCTTACAATGTATACCGCTGCGATAGAAAGTTTGGCGTCGATTTTTCGAGAGGCTAAAAAATAATCTTCTCGGACTCCTAACATCACGTGGCGAGCTTTTGCGTTATTTTCACTTTTTTTGTAGTTTCTAGATATCACAAGAACTAATAGAAGAATCTGACGATCTGATAAAAAAAAAGAAGTATTGAAATATCTCGTCAAACCCAGCTATTAAATCTACTAGATAAAAAGAAGAATAGTTACTAAAATACTAGGATATTCTATAATAAGTTTGATATTGGCTAATTCAGTCACGAGTTTCGATTAGCTCGAGCGGAGCAGCTAAGTGAAAGTTTAATAAACGAGTCTCTGAAGAAGTTTGTCAACATATTGGTTTTTTAAAATTTTTTCTTACACCACCTATACTAGTTCCAAAAAGACATTATTTACCACGCCAATCTTATGTATACGTAAAAAAATGTAGGAGTTGAGACCGAAATGATAGGTTTTTTATTTTTTAATTATCATTTAATGGCATAAATAGAATTAAACAAATTATCAAACAGATAATAATCTAGTGACTTTCAACAGCTGGTGCACCATCATCTCCAGTAAAATTTAAAAAAAATGGATGAAATTATTTTTTTAACAGTTAAAACACCACATTTGAAGTAAGTGCCTTTAAGACCAACAGTCTCGGCATATTTTTGTTACTGTGAAGGCTCAACCTAGGGAACAATAAAATATTTCGTATTATCTATAAACATTGATATGGTAGATTTGAAATTAATTTGCCCTTTATTAATTGTTGCATTAGTAATTGTTCAGCATGCTGTTGCTAGGATTATAGTTGCGTATATAAGTATATGACTAAGATCTGTACCCATAGTCGACTCTCAAGTCTTGACGATGGCTTCCAAGCTTCAGAATGGGCGCGATGCATCTGTCCAATTATTATTTTTATGTTCCTTGGCCGAGAAAGTCTTAAGAAGTTTTAACCGGAAAAATAAAACATTGCTAGTGATCTAATGCCGTACTTTAATAAACATTAAAACTATTAGTTGATCGCATGGGAAAATACATTGGCAAATAGCCATGGTAAAACCTTTTTCGTAAAAATATAGGGCTGGGGAATACATTAGCTCTGCTAGAATGCAGAAGCCGCAATCCTAATAACCCAGAAACACGTGAAAAGCATTCAGCGAGCGCCGAACCTTCTCTATTAAAAGAGATTCGTCACGTCAACAGCCATTTCGGCTTCGTAAAATTGGTCATCATGTCATCGACCATTCGGCAATTTTCGGTGCCCCTTCGGTAAAGGGTTCGTGCTACGATCGAACACACTTTGTTTCCACATTTAAAACCAGGATGACGTAAATGCTTTTTTCCTAGTAGACATAAATATTTTTAATATTTCGCACATATACCGATTACAACTATGCTCTTTATCATTTTTCCCAGCTTGTAATTTATTGTTATTTTTAATAATAACGGCGCTATAAGTTTACGAAAAATCTCAAAGAACAAAGCAATATCACAAAAAGTAAAAAAAAATTTCGAAAATCCCTAGACAGGCGCACTGTTTTTCTATAGTGCTCCTGTGAACCACTATGGAACTTTCGAGACCATACTATACACCGCCAAGAGGATAGTTTCTCAAATTCTTGGAACACCCTGTATAATCATCTTTTACACTCATGCATAGAACAAATCAATAAAAATAAAATAATTTTTAGATTCATCACATGCGTAAATCCAACTATTTTTTTACCATTACCGCACGAATAATTTATAGGTAAATATTAGCAACAGTTATATAAAATGTTCCAAAGGATCCGAATTTAAAAGAAAATATAGGGTGCTCCATTTGAAAAAAGTAAAAATGATAATAATTTCCTGTAGATCTGGCAACGCTGCATTGGATCAGATATATCTAAAACATAAATTGTTTTAGTTGGAAAAAGTTATTTTACTTTGTTCTCCGAAAACTGAACACTGAATGTCCGTCACCCATGTTGGAAAAAGAAGCTATAAACATTTCTCCTAAATATTTATAACTTTCGTCCTAAAAACTTTAGGTACAATAATTTAACAACTTTAACCAATAACGACGCAAGAATATAATAAAATTAAATATTTAAATTATTTATTGCCGGTATTATCGTTTTAAGCAGGGATTTGAGGGTTCTGTTTAATATATCACGAGAGATCTACAATATGTGAAAATGGTAAATGCATAAAATAATAATAATATAATAATAATAAAAATAATAAAACCGTTAAACCCAAATTCGTCCATCCGTGACGGAATTTTAGGTTATTTGCCGATAACCGACGGTATATTTTTCAAAAAGTGGCATAGACAGCATTATTGACCCGAATCTCTACTACCTTCTCGTTCGATAATTTTATCGATAGGATAATGGGTTTTCGACAAATATATATTCTTTAATTTCGAAATCAGAGATATTTAGAGACATCAGATCCCTCCCAGTTTCAATAGGTTCCATCTGGGGATGGAAGCCAAACTTGTCATCGAATCTCAAGTCGATTGCTTGAAATTTCGGACACACGATTTTCGGAGCGCATCGAGAATTAGCCAACATAATGGCCGCAGATGTTAGAAGCTGCGAATCTTCTAATCTTATAACGGAGGAAAATTTGAAGTTTTAACCGATGGAGAATTATCCGGAATCAAAAACCAGCCGGAGGTCCATTAGGGCGAACATAGAACTGACAATATAAAAAAATGACTTTTTTTTACAATTCTGAATCGGTCTGTACTGACGGCCACCCCGTACGACCAACCGTGAACGCGATTTCATCGGTTTCTCGAAAATAACAATATTTTAGAAAATGATGATAAGGCTGAAACTCCGTGATTCCCGTGATTAAAACAAATTTTCGACGTTACGATGAAGAAGGGAGATCTACTACTTTGCCATATTGCGGCACTGTATTCCTTTGTTGCCCAATATCCACCGATATAAAGGGTACAACACAAGTAGATATACATGTTTTTAGTAACAAACTTACCTTCTTTCCATCTAATTCATGGGTACCTTGGGCTAACACTTTGTCTACGCTAGAAGGGTCCGTGAAGGTGATAAATCCGAAACCCCTAAAATCAAAAAGAAAAACGCAAATTGTAAATATGGAATGTTTTACAGATAGCAGCGAAGATATCTACGTAGTTGATGGGGGCAGAGTGGACGGGAGGAATGGAGGAAAACTACTGCTGCTACAGCTCTACTCTCGGTGTGTATGGAAGGTAGTGCAGATATCTTCTGGATACAATTTCGGTCTTGATCATTTCGATTTATCGGAATTTCGTTGATGATAGTTTGAGGTTTATTTTCTGTACTACTGCACTTCGACGGGATAAGGTTACAACGGTTACAACTAACTTGATTTGGCTTTAATTAATAATTATTAAATAATAAACATTTCTTAATCTTCTTCATATTTCAATCAACCACGAAAACGAATGACTACGGTATTTTCGGTAATCTACATCTTGAGTATTATTTCAAAAATTATTTGAACTGACTGAACCATGGTTGAATATATTTAAATATAAATATGTAACGTATATCTCCTGATAGGGGAACCTCAAACAATCAACATTGAAAACAACAATTTCGACAAAACGCTTTTTTAGTTTGTCCTTTAGAGCAACATACCTGGGGGTGTACACTACCGGGCCGCTGTCCACGCCTGAAGCGAAGCAAACTACCCCGGTGCCGCTGAAAGAGACCAACTGACTAAACAACCCCCACTTTTAATCCTTAAAATTATGTTCGATCACATTAAGTGCGTCACTAGGTAACTAAAAAGCTAAGAAAATACTAATCTACACGAGAATAAACGGTATAGCAGCATTAGCAGTTTCAGCCATTTTGAAACTTTTCAATGAAAAAATGCGCGATTAGTTTGGTTTTCGGCTTCAATGGTTGCCACTGTGTCCAAAGTTTTAAAATGGCATCAAAAGGAGTTGACGGAGAAGGGGGAAGGTGGGATTAAAAATTGTGGAAAACGCCTTCGACTCAGCAAAATGGATGATAAGTGTTTTAATGCTAAATTAAGCTTAAAGTAGATCCGATTTTGAACGGACGACACCAACAAATTATATTGTTTTATTAACCAAAGAACCATAATCCTATAGCAGACTGCACCCACTCAAATAAATCAAACCAGCCGTTGAAATACACAGCGAAGAGAAAATAAACGAGTATTTTGCTCAGTCAGGTTAAAACAAAATTTACAAAACGTTATTGCAATACTTTTACACAGCGAAAAGTTTCCTTTCGGCTTTAACTCGAACATGAAAAGCTTTCTAAGGGCCAAGCTTCGGAACATGAATTGTTATATATTTTTCTATTATTTTAGGAAAGAGTTCAGTTTTTCGCAGAAGTTACTACGAAATTCTTTTTGATTTCGACTTTAGTACGATTGCGATTGCGAAAATCCAAAGGAAATCTTTTACTACTTGAGTCCTTTCTCACAGTTGCCGAAGTGTGTCTGCTGTTTATAGCGTCAACGCGTAACCTATATTAGTCCACATGTTCAGTTAAATTTGATGGATTGCGAAACATCAATAAACTGCAAATTGGAAAAAAAAATCAAGTTACGAAAACCAACCAAATCATACAACAGACAAAATTAAATGCAATTATTTTTGGCCCAAATTTTAAATAAAGAAACATCAATGTGATTACTTTTTGTATATTTTTAAATAAATTATAAATTAATTCTAAGGAACTTTAACGTTGCAACAATTTCGTTGGGCGGGGTAGAAGGGAAAAACGTCTAACGCTTCTAGTGAACTAATCTTGGAAAAATACCATAGTCAGTATTGGAATGGATTATTAAATTAAATTAATTTTTGCCGCTAAAACAAATAGAAAGTGGATTATGTTCAACGAAAATAAACTTTCTTATTACGTCGATGTTTTAGAAAACGTATTGTCCTCTTTAGCAAAGTTATAGCCACATAAATCTAATATAAAAAATTGGGGTAGTCTGAAGTTGGCAATTACGAATTGGTTTCTCTCTTCAGCGATTCTCACAGTTGCTGTGCACTGCGTATTCCGGACCATTCAAGAATATTTTTCAACCAACACATCAGCTTCTAATAATAAGTTGAAGAATACGGTAACATTTATTGAGGAAGACACGGCTCAAATAAGACAGTTTACAACCCTTAACAGATGTCAAGAGTTCGCAAACGGCATTTGCTTTATTCAAAACGGCCTTGCATACCTATGCACGATATTCGGAGCATTCAAACGCCTCCAGAAGAATGACTGCGTTAACCTTGAGCTTCCAGATTTCAACCCCATACAGCAACACTGACCATATAGTAGCACCTGATAGCAGTGATTTCATGTTTTTGAATATTGCATGAGCCGCTCCAGCCATATTTTATTTCAAGGTCTGGATCAAGTTTTCCAGTCATGTAGCACCCGCATTACTTAAAATAAGGTACTATTAAAGTATCTTGACTGAATAAAGATATTAATTAAGCACCATGGTGTGAAAATGATGCCCGGAAGTGAGAGAAGAGTTCTTGTAGAAAAAAAAAACACTAATTATGTTTCCCCGATCCTGTTAATTTGTTTCGTTTTAGCTTCTGGTTTTGGTTAGGGTGAGGTACAAATTAATTTCGCATATTCAGCGATGACGTCAGGTCACTACCACAAATTCTTTAGGGGAAAAGAATATTCGAATAATATTCGGTATTACCAAATACGTGAACTGTTTTTTCGATTTAATTGAGCGCTGTTTATATTTTCGTTAAGTTGTTAACTGTAGCAAAGAATTTGTGCATTTAGTTTTGCAACTCGAAAGATTGTTCCTGAAATTTTAATACGCAATGGAGTTTACCGAATTACTTCCCCGGGGCGTATAAAGCGGGCTTAAGTAAAATTTATACGCGACATCTTTCCGCCGATAAATCTTATCAAAATATTCAAAATATCTTCATATCTTCATCGGCGGACACGATAATATTAACGACATTATCCTTTTAATAAATCGTCCCCGTTAATACATAATTCATGGAATACTTTATAAAGATAACAGAAAATTTGTATAACATTGGATAGTAACGTTAATATATGGACGATAAATCCTGGCAAAGTCACCGTCTATTCACCTCCTTTCGGCGTCTCGCGTATCCTTAGAAGATTCATGCTCAGGTAAGCACGCGTCCTTACCGCCAGCCGCTGTAAAGGATAGTCACGGCTTTTCTTTTTGATCCCGTTCTCTTTACCACTCTATTTCACGTTATCCTCTGAGAAATCCCTACCGATATTTTCGTCTGCGATCGAATAGTTGTAATTGCGTTAAAGACGTTTATTATTTTATCAGTTAAAACAAGATATATTTTGGACTGCCCGATTATTTTGCTTTGCCAAATTTGGCCATATTGTTGCTTCAGTACTGCTTTTTTTTTGCCCAGACCTTTTATGACAGCCGAGTATTTATCTACTACATTTAAATATAAACAAAAATAAAATATTCATGGAAGTATGTAGGGAACTATTTGAATAGGATAGTTTCGACAATTGTGAATAAGAGGTCGAACATGGAAATGATTCTAAAACTGTCTTCACAATAATTATTATACTTTAAGCAATACATTGTATATAATTGAGAAGTAATCACTTAGTTGGATTAACGGCTGTCCAAATACATGCTCTGAAGAAGATAACTTTATCACCGAAACATCGGCTTTATAGATCCAGAGCTCGAAGCAGTAGCAAATTACATGAGATGTGTCCCCTTCATTACTAATTGTATGCGTTGCCGCACAGGTATTCAAGTGCTGCTAATTAGTGACCCTCTAGGTGAAGAGCAGATCTCCTTTCTCGGGAATACATAAAAAATTCGATCTTGCCTACACTTGTTTGAAAAGTGACAATTAATAAACAAAAATATATTATTCATGAGTATTGCAACTGATTTAGATATTTTGATTAGCTTTTCACGAATTTCAACTAAAATTTAGATAAATAACTGGGCAATAACAAAATCTTTGACAAATAGAAAAAAATCCCATGGTAAATTAAATTTAATAATAACAATAATAAAAAAAATCTGGAACCAGTAAAATTGTACCCAGAAGAATTACATAAGGTACTCGTTTATCACCTACAATCATATAGTACCTAAACAGACTTGTGACTAAAGTGTCGCCAATCATAGCCTGTTTAACAAACCTATTATCGATATATCGGTGTGCCTTTTTATTAAATGTATTGCGCCAAAGTGACCAAGGAAATATAAAAATGAACAAAAATTTTGGTCACTTTTCAATTTGATTGTATGGGTCACTTTTAAACCATTAAACATATATTGTCGGCTAAATAGAAAAAAAGATTTACATTTAGATTATAGTTATTAATCAACAAAACTTAAATTAGATGAATCAAATTAGTTGATTTTAGTACAAACTATGTTCCACGCAGAATTATTTCAAATTAAAAGTTATACAAAAGTTGTAGTTTTCAAAATGAGTTTCTTTGGAAATCTCATCTCTTGCCCACAGGACGTCTCAAGTTTGAACTACTACTAACAACATTGGAAGTTAATATGCTAAGAAGGAAATACTGAAATCAAAGAATTTAGTTTAGGGGTAGTAAATTTCACAATTCAATTTTGGTACTTTTGGTACAGGACATTTTAAAAATAAATTAACAACTTAACGACAATTGTTAAAAGTTAATCTGGGAACCAGCTAAGGCACTTGAGACTTCAGATATGAGGGTTTTTTTGAAGAAAAAACCAGACTAGTTATTGAATTTATTTTAGTATACAAAATCGGAAAAGTTAATAAACCGTCAACTTTACCAACGGAAGTAGAAATATTTCCAGGATCCCAAAATGTCAAATACTTGTCTAACATCGGCCACATAGCATCGGCAAGTGAAGATCAAGAACGATACAAATGTTTCGGTAAGTTCTTAAACGAAGTGAATATATTTCCATACGTTCCAGAGTATTTGAAAGAAGGAATAGAGCGATCCACCAAGACAAATGGCCGAAATGTAGCCCCGGGCTTGCTTCCCAGATTCGAACAAAACCTTTCCCGTAATGATTGCCTTAATCCTCCCGATCCCATTCAACAGATGGAAACAGCCGGGCTCATAACGCCGATAACAATATCACCTCCGAATAAAATACAAGCCAAAGTGGGGTGCGGGCGCGCAAAATAAAAGCCGAAAGAAACCGCGCGAACGAACAGCGAAAACAAAAGAAACCCGGACGGAAGAAAAATGGCGCCGATAAATCATCGGTCAGGATACAAAGGTCCGCTAATTTGGCCTATATATAGACAATGCCTCTCCGCCAAACCACGTGACATGATTGCTTAACATCAGGAACGTATTTTGCGTGTCGCCCGGCGATAAATTAAGGGGGGGGGTTGTATTTTGGTGGTCAAGGCGAGCAAGCCGTTATATATAGGGTATGTCCGAATAACGTACGGATGGTATTAAATTGATTAAAGTGCTGCGATTACGGGAATCGGTGTGTTCGGTTTGACTTTTATGAATTAATTCGTAGCCGATCGCTGCGATACAGCGTAGATGCGATTTCGACAAAAACAAACTGTTTGGTTTTCATCAATCACACACTCGAGAACTGAAGCTATGCGAAACGGAAAATTGCCTGCCGCAACTAATTTGCCACTGGCAAACCATTAAAATATATTCCGAGAAAGACGCGGTTAACAGAGAGCTAG